TTTTTATCTACAGACGCCACATGTCAACTACCTGCCATGTTGCACTGCCATGTGTCTACAGTAGCTCAAAACAGACATTCCCAAAACTGGATACTCTAGATAGGACTGCTCCAATTTTTTTGTGCATTAGTTTTTCCCTTGCACTTGGAAAGGGAGAGTGAAGCCAGTTACTCACAATCTGCAATTACACCTCTAGATGCCACTAAATTCGACACACTGGTCCTTTGATAAAAACTTGGGGTGACAAGTTCTGAAAAATCCATCTCTATTTGGTAATAATCCGTAATTCATAATTCATGCATATAATGAAACTTGCCAATCTATTTGTGAATGATGCCTAAATGTTAATACATGGTAGTAAATGGATTTCAGTCCAGATCCTCCCTCCCTTTTTTTCAAGAGATTGCCCATTAAAGAGTCTTCCTGATGAATTAAAAAGCTAAAGCTAAGTTTTTTCTGATAGACGAACCTGACAGAGGATTTTGTTCACAATCTAGCCACCTAAAAGTAGTTCTTACTCATTGCTTATAACTCATCTATCAAGCATTGACATGAAATGACTAGTAAATATACTTGAAAAATCCCTTGTGCTATTGGGTACATTTGAATATTTTACTGTAACACAAAGTATCAGCTGTTTTAATCCTCACATAAAGGGTCCCTCTAGATTGGTCACCACCTTTATGTTGACATAATCCACCCTGCGTGGGTTCAGACCATCCAATTCAACACTTCCAAACATGCTGTGAGATAAAAGAGAATATTTTATAGACACATATTAAACACCATTATTAAAATATTTGCTTGATTCATTCATCTTTTTTTACCTTTTCCTACTGAAGGCGTTGACAATAGACCCATTCAGTAATACAGTGATGTTGCCACATGCCATTTCTGCAAACTAACGAATGGGTGAAGAAAGTCACATGAGAGCAATAATTCACTGCTGGCTTTGGAAGAGTATTTGGCATATGAATGATAAACAATGCAGCTGTTTCTGCAGTTAGGACATTAGACTCACATTCTGTGAGGCTTGCCTCCACAAGGAATACACTGGATGGTTTCGGCATGCTGACCATTCCGGACAAGAACTGAAATCAAAACCTGTGTGTCAAATTCAAAGCTATCAGTTAAAGGAATCGTTACTTTGATGATATTCAAATGAGACATGAGAATGGATGGCAAAAACAAAGTGATGTGTTGGCAGGTTAATCACTCAGCAGTATGACTCTAATAAAAAAAAACCCTAAAGGCATTTGGGAGAACAGCTGCAGCTGCCTGAGTGTTGAGGTTTCATTTGAATCCCGATGCTACCAAGTTTCTTCACAGTACAAAAAATGTCTTTGCAGTTGAATTCACTGTTAGTTGTTAGATATTAAGGGTAATTTGTAGTTTGGAAACACACTGACATATTTCTGACATATAAGATGACATGGCAAACTTGTAGTAATGGGACAATATTTGATATTATCACGTATCGCAATAAAAAACAGCCCCTTGTATCCCACATAAAAAAGTTAAACCAGACAAAAATACTATGGTTTCCAAACTAAAGAACAGGGAGATAAAGTGACTCCAGTATTAGTTTTAGTACCAGAGTTTTAAATATATTTTGATGATTATCTGGATAATATCCAATTTCTTTGGGCAGGATAATCGTGACATGAAATCTTCATACCGTCCCATGCCTAGTGAGCAAACTGCTTAGCATTAGCTTAGCAGTGATTTGGAGTTGTATTTCTATTAGGTCCAATATTCACTCTGTTTTATCTCTGGTTTTGGTCCCCACCTGGAACGATTTGAATATTAAGCTGCTAAATGCTGTTAGCAGGGTATATCAGTCATATCTCAAATGAGCCAATACAAAACAAATTCATACTCATTAGTGAATAAATCATTTATTTTCTATTACATTGTACTTAAATTTTGCTTAGTTGTATCTAAGTAAGTCAACTTGTTTGTGTCTCTTTTGGTACACCATGTCACCCAATTTAGTCCCACAACAAACAAATCCAGTTACAGGAAATGTTGGATCATGATTGAGTTACTGCAGTGTTTCCCAAACTGGAGTTGATGACCCTGTACTGAGATAAATTGGAGCGTTTGTGTGCTAATTATTTGGACAGGAAAGAACAAAAAAAAAGTTGTTCTGCTGCTTCATTTGGTCAAGAGCTAAAGAGCTTGGAAACCACTGGGTTACTCCTGTCTTTGTTTTAGGGGCATTCTTTACTAGCATTTACTAGGACAAGAATTATGTATCAGTGTTTTGAGTTATTTTGATTGCCTCTGCCTTGTTATAACCAGAAAAGATCTACCAGAGTCTTCCTCTTGTCCACACCAGATGAGGTCGTTGAACATGTAGCCAACCAGTGTGTCTTCCAGAGTCCAGAAGTGACGTACAACAGCTGCATAGCTGTGCATCAGTGTCCTGGTTTTACTCCAGAAGAGGAACTAAACGGATGAGAAGGGAAATACAGAGCACTTTAACTCCATTTAATGAGGTATCAGTGACGGTGAACATGTATCTAGTTTTGGATCTCTTGCTCACCCTATCACAAGGCCAGGTTTGCGGCATTGCGTAAAACATCTGACGATAATCCTCTACCGTCACGTTACAAGAGGACTGACGTGCCACCGCCTCCTCAAACTGTCTCCAGATGTCTTCACAGTCATACCTACACGTAAAGATGAAATATCTTTATATCTTCTAGGGCTGCAGCGATTAGTCGATGGGTCGATTGACGGAAAATTAGTTAATTAATCTTTAAATATATCAAAATTCTCTTGTTTCAGCTTCTAACGTAAATACCTGCTGGTTTACTTAGTTTAATACGTTTGTATAATTATATGTTTTAGACAGTTAGTCGGACAAAACAAGACATTTAAAGACTTCACCAGCTGGGATGGACATTTGTCACCATTTTCAAACATTTTCTACACCAAGTGATTCAAAAATTAATAAATAATTAAACGATAAAGGTTGGAATAGTCATTGTTTTGCAAATCGCCATTACATTTCAAACGAATCAGATCAAACCGAATGGCATTTGAAAATGTAAACACTGGATAATAGTTGGTACTGATAAACCTAACTATAACTACACATGAAACTAGATAAATAACCTTTTTCAAACAAGGGCTAAGTAAATATCATTGAACTTAACAACTACAAATCAAGTCGTGTAAATAAAAGTTAGAAGTTCCCACGAGATAAAACATATTTTCATACAAAGGGTATCGGTACATGCCCTCTTTTCCACCATAACCATCTTTGTCTTCTTTTTTTCTACTGAAGCACAGAAAAGAAGAAAACTTGTTCAACACCACATCAATGGTACAACACCGGATTGATATATTGCTCGGCCAGACAAAATACTACTTCTACTATGAGCTGTAGGAGGAAATCAAGTTCTGCAGTTCTAGTCACTGCTGTTAAAGTCAAAAGGTAAACTTAATTTGCAAATTGATTTTCACTCAAGATTGCGGGTCAGTACATTACCTCAAGCTGGGGTTAACTAGTGTGATGTAATTGTAACACCTTCCAACCACTATGTGTTTAATGTTGGGGGTAGTCCCGAACTGTGCTCCCAGTTGACCAGGGTAGAGCAGGAGCATAATAAACCCTTTGAAACGGATAGAAGAAAGGAGAAATTATTGCACATTTGGGAGGGGCACATAAAAAGAAAAGGAAGAAGGAATAACTGTGGGAATGTTAGGAGGAATTACTTACATAATGTCACGCTGATCATTACAAAGGACGCAGATGTTTTAGGGGCGCTGATGATAGTAAGACCCTGATCCGCTTCATTGCGCCTCAGAAAAGATGCGTGTGTGTACATGACTTAATCTGCCTTACTGTAGATCAACGGCAAAAACCATTCTCAATCAATCAACCAGTACAGGTAAACAGGTACTTCCTGCAAGGTCACAGGGAGTGTGTTACTGTGACTGAAATGTCAGTTTTATTGTGGCATGGACAAAACTTCCTCCCACGTCTTTTTTTTTTGTCTCGAGCTTTCAAGCATGGCAGGCAAAAAACCATGACCTTTAGAAAACAACACCTTTCATACCATTTAAAGGAGACACAAAAGATACACATTTCTTTTAAATTACAGTGGTTAGCACATGCAAATATAAAATATCGTGTGAATAAACAGGTACGAATGCCCAGTTTTGTAATTCAGTGTTAAAATGTAAAACTGTAAGTAAATGCTCACCATTTTCATTGCAGAAGGTCAAAGTGCAACAAATGGCTGCATGGTTGTGATGTTATGCGTTGCTCAGGTCAGGCTTCTGCACGAATTTGAGCCCCGTTGTGGTGTGATCTGATGTGTAACCTCTTCTCAGGGCTAATGGTTGTCATGCCCGAGAGGCTCGCCTTCATAGGTCGACAAACACAGCTCCTTTCCAACCCACAGAGACATTCTTAAAGGACGGATGAGACGTTTTTTTTCCAGCCTCCTCTTGCAAAGAGTAGATCCGCATGACTCCCATTATGGTGCCATTAAGAATCTCCCCACATAGAGTGAGCACTGTTCTCTGGGATGTGGTGCCATGGTGGGCTGAAGGGAGACATATATGTTTGTGTTATTGGACAAAAGGAGCTCTGCAGTATTATGCTGAAGATAGTAGATGTTGTTTTGTGAATCAGGTTTTACCGGTAAAACATACATAAAACTGTTGGTTCATACAGGTCGGTGTGACAGATATGTGGAGATCTTAATCTAGTCTTTTTCTATTATACTTCCTTGTCATAATACAAAAAAACATTTGGGTTTGGAAGAACTATATTTAATGTATGCCTAACTTTTGCCAGACTCCTCATTAAACTGCTGAAAGAAAATTATCATTTTGAATTTCTGCCACCTCATTTGTAAGATAAAGGCCGTCTGAGGGTAAATCTGTATGGATGAGACGGTGCCCTTGTGATTTTAAAGCTAATTGCGCTGTTAGCAAAGGAGGGCAGAGCTTTTCCACAGGTCTGCCCGAGCCTATTGACATAAAATGCTCTGAGGTTAAGCTGCCAAATATAGCCTCAAAGAGAAGGAAGCAAAAAAAAACTGTAAAGCACGAGCTGAAGACAGCAAATCTGCTTTTGTAATGACTTCCATGTATCTGTACATTTTTTTCTAGGAAGCAGAACCAACATCTTGCCATTATATGTAGTTTATGAAAAATCTACTGAAGTAGAAGGAAGCTTGTTAACGTTCATTATCTAAACCCCATTTCCTTTTTTCCATTTAACTATTTCATGCCGTGCCTGTGAGACAAGTTCAAAAAATAGAAATAATGTCCATATACACATGTAAAGTGGAGGAAATCATTCTAAATCTCAAACGTATCATGACACTGACAATTCTGTTTTCTGTTAAGATATTAAGACAATTAACTATCTCACATAATACAATAATAAGAAAAACTAAAGAATTTAGTATATTTATACAGCAATAATTCCCCTTACCATCATTAGTTGAAAACATGAAGGGATTAACATAAAAATTACACAGCAGGAGTGATCATGCTTAGACACAAATGTGTGATGTGCTGCCTCTTTCCTTCTTCTCCCTGTCATTGACAATTACTTTGAAATTTGGTCTTGGGTCTATTTGTTTTTTCCCCCTCAGGAGATGCAGTTGAAAAAGATATTAAACAGGGGAAACAAATCAGCTTTGAGGCTAACTTGTTGAGCAGAAGTGCAACTAAGCATGGCAGTCAAGTCACAGTGTATTGTTGTTTGACAACTAAAGTATTGCTGCATCAGTTCCAAACTCTAACTCATGACAGCAATTATCAAAAATAATGACGAATTCGGATCTTAAGTTACGCAAACCTTACATGATGAGTCCTAAAAGTGTTGAGAAACACTTGAGAAATTTTTATGACACCCGGAGCCAAAAACCAAAACAGAAATGCAGAAAAGCAACTGATTCCAACATTTGTGACTATATATATATAGTTTATAACTTACAAATGTTTTTGGATAAACTTGACTCAAGTTATGAAATTACATGCAAAGTCTTAAAATAAACAGTGGCACATATTAGAATTTGCATATTGAGCTTTACGGGTCAGTGGGGACATGATTTGACATATATTTCATCATTAAATCTCAACTACATATTAAAACAACACCTGAAGTCGCCTGCAGAAATAAAAGCCTCTACACAACAACAACAACAACAACAACAGAGGCAGCCGACATGCATGTTTTGTAACATACAGTGGTGCTGCTGCCACCTTCTGGTCTAAAGAGGTATGTGTTAATATTTACATTACTGATAGCTTCTCAGGGATTTTTTTGTCATCAAACATTAAAAATTTACTTTAAAATATGTTAGCCCACGAATTCAGTGGCACCCTTGACTCGTCAGAAGTGTTAAAATGTATTGAAGCCATTCATAATGACCTTTCATATGGCAAAATTTAACATCTCCATAATTACAAAACTCAAAGCCTGGACCAAGAAGCTGTGTGAATGTGGTTTGGACTGGATGAGAACCACTCAGAGTCAGAGATGCTGTAAAAGGACAGAGTTCCTACTTTCCTGCCTATACCTCTGTATGATACTGCTATGCAAACCTGCTGCCCTCTCCACTCCAACTCCCAGTAACAGCGTCCCATCAGGCCCTGGCTGCACAGCACTTCCTCCCAGTAGTCAAACCTCCCTGCGTGGTCGGGGACGGGCGAAGGGTGCTCGATGTATGTGGCCCTTAGTGCTGTAGAGGCAGAGCTCAGGGTGGGCTGCGTCTGGATCCAGAGTGAGATCTTTCCAATCGGATACAAAAAGTGGAATAAAAGTTACTAGTGTGTTGACTTCCCTCTTTTTTTTTTACCCACTCGTTTTTTTTCTTTCATAGATTCAGATGCACACACATAAATACCCACACACCAGACACCCTTAGTCTGTATTGAATAAATCAGATTCCCTACATCTTCCTGTTAGCAAACAGTAGGCTAGATAGATAGATAGATAGATAGATATTCAGTAGCATACGAAATATACATTAAACATACATTAAAATAAGATGACCTTATAACACAGTAGCCACAGTAAACAGTGCAAAAACAGTAAACAGTGCAGATGGAGTGCAAATGGAAGTAAACAGTGCAGATATAGTGCAAATCGAAGTAAACAGTGCAGATATAGTGCAAATGGAAGTAAACAGTGCAGATATAGTGCAAATGGAAGTGCAAGTGGAGGTAGAAATTGTCCTATTGTCTATTGTCCTCCCTGCCTTTACTGAGAGCTGCTGTACAGTCTGATGGCCAGGGGCATGAAAGAGTTTTTGAGTCTGTCGGTGGCTACTGCTGTAATAATTGTTTGTGTTGCCACCAATACATTTATGTTCTTTTTGTGTTTAAATTAAAAAAAAAAACCTGTTAACTAGACTATGATGTAATTTAAAACACAGCTTGCAGTTTGTAAAAAGGCAAAGGTGTAAAGCCTGAATGTTTTTGGGTTCCCATTAAATCCAAGGAGAAATAAAAACCCCACATGGACGCGAATCCTCCTTCATTCCTTCCTCTTCTGGATGTCCACCAGCAAAAGCTGTCCTCTCCTGTCTTCATTCAGCTTCCCGTTCGGAGAAATGACAGCGCTCTAGCCAATGAGAGCGGCGAGATCGCATCCGACGGCGTGTATTGACCAATGAGAGCGAGCCTTGCCTTTTAGTCCCGCCCTTCCACAAGCTAAAAAGTCAACATAAGAAGAAGAAGTCCCTTTGGAGGTGGGTTGAATTAGCAGTAGCTCATTGAAACTCTTTGTGCTGTTTCTTTAATGAAATTCACATGTACTAGGTTGCTAACAACGCCGTTCATGTTATGCATTTACCCGTAGTTGTGGTTACTCTCAGCGGCCGCTTATTCCTGCTTTACCCCCTGGAAAAGCCAACTAGCACAGGGAGCTAAGTCAGCTAAAGAGGCAACGTTTATTTAACAGATGTACTCATTATAAGAGCTAGTTTTGTAGTTGGTTGTATCTGTATCTGTAACTATCTAACACGAAGGGAAAGCCGCTGTGAATGAATCAGTGTCTCTTTTCCCCCTCCAACAGGAACATAATCTGTCTGTCAATACATTACTGCGGCTGCCTGTCAACATGAGTGATGCCTGGCAGGAGTGTATGGATCACTGTGTGGAGGTCACCAGAAAGGCTGGGAAGGTGAGCAAGTGTTAGTACTGTAAATCTGCCTCTTATGGGTTTTTTTTTTTAATGCTGTGGCAGGAAAATCACCTTATTTTGGGTGGAAACATGAGCTTAAGTGAGGTTTTGCATTCACTCACATTGTGTAAAGAGATGTATTTACAGCATTCATATATATAGCACAATGCCATAAGGGCATATAATATAGGTGTAATTGAAAGGGTGTGACATTTTCAAACAGCTATTTTCCTGGTAAAACATATATTCAAAAGTTGGGTTTGAGTTCCTTAAATAAAGGTAGTTCCCAATTAAGTTTGTCTTGGTAGTTATGTGTGCAGTTTTGCCAATTTCTAAACAGACAGGCAACACCGAAGGTTATCCATTTTGATGATCGAGTCATCAAAGTAGGGGTGTAAGAAAATATGGGAAAAAATATTGTATTGATTCTCAAAAATCTACTACCGCTATTTGTATTTAAACCCCCAACCGCTG